GGGGGGGGAAGGGAGGACTGGCCATGCAGATCCATCCTCAAACCACCTTTAGCTTGGATGGTCTGCTTTTCCTCCTTGGTTACCTCTAGATCTGCTTATCTTCGCCTTGCAGTCAGCCCCAGCACCTTGTGGAGCTCAGAACTATTCCTACAACCAGAACAGATCCAGACACCTCCCCAGGTACCAGAAAGGCTCCCTGCACAGGCATGGACAGAGCAGTCCAATATGCTCCTGGGAGTTGGTAGAGCTGTCCAAGAGCTGCATCTGGTTACCAGCTGCTGGCGTGCAGAGTAGCATCTTCAGCTGCGCTGCTGAGACAGCCTCACCCTGGCAAGCCACGAGCACTTCATGGTCACCACTTCCACCAGGCTGCAAGCGTTGGGCAGACTACGTTGGTGGCTGGCAAGAGCACTCTGGAAACACAGCTGATGACCCATGGGAGGCAAGGGACAGCCTGCAAAGGTGCACCCACAAGGCACTAACATCATCTATTAGCGCTCTCTGGGCACACACTTCCAGCCTCAGCAGCAGGCGCTTCACCCAAACCACCCACTTCCAGGGTGCTTCAGGGGACTGGGTTGAGGAGACGAGCATCCAAACACTTGCATGCTGTGCAAGACCCAAGCAGCTTAAGCCCATCACCAAGAAAACCTTGCTGCGCTTGAATCACACACACATCATATCACACCATGTTGAAGAGCACGCAGAAGACAACAGGCACCAATCCATCCCGTTGCTTAGAAGGGGTGTTTCAACAGACGCCGTCTCGGTCCAGTTCACTTGTCAGGCATGATTTTTAGTGATAATTGCTGCTCAAAAGGTACCTGGAGGAGCTAAGACCATCTCCTGCATCTCCTCTGCCTAGCGGGAAAGAGCTGGCTTGGAGAGAGCTTGCTCCGGGCTGCTTGGCCAGCCTGTGGCAGCACCAAGTCACTTGAGTTTAGGAAAACACCATAACCGTAAAAGTCTTCAGAAGAGTGCTTCACACCTCCAGGAAGCATGGAGATAACCCAGAATAAAAGTTAACCTAGCAAGTCCTACCTGACAGCAACAAGTTATGACACACAAAAAAATAATCCATCACTGTCTCCAGCCTTCCATCCCAGGGAGAGCTCAACTGGCACAACATGAAGTCCAGAAGATTTTGCAGACATGACTGTGAAGTCAATCCAGAGGTCAGTGGTGCACAAAGACAGGGTCTCCATTGTCCAGCAGATCCACCGCGGTGGCCATTGTTTGGTGCTCCAGGGTTCAGAGAGGCTGGTGTCACCCAGGTGCTCACACACCCAGCACCCCAACAGGAGACAGTACTTGAGGAGGAGCACAGCACCTGAGCCCACCCCAGCAGATCTTCCCACATGTCCAGTTCTCTAGGGCCAGGACCAGATCACAGGCACTGGGATCTGCTTTGTGCCCATCCACAACAGTAGCCACCACTCAAGAGACCTGGCTAGCTCTGAGCTAGCCCAAGCAACCAACAAGAGGGAAAAGTTATTTTGGAGCACTGACCTCTCCTTCCATCGATGGGCTCCACTTCAACTCAGTGCTGGGAAACCTCAGGGTCCTGCTGGGCTGTGTACCATCACCACCAGATAGCCATGAGCAAGGACTGCTCCTTCCACTCACTTACACAGGCTGCTGCCAGCAGCAGCAACATGGAGGCTCTGAGGGCACCTTGGGTAGCCCATCTCCAAAAGGATGGGCAGCTGTGAGATTTCAGTCCATGACCAGCTCCCTGCCTTGGAAGCATCTACCACGGACAGTCTCCCAAGCTCTGGGTACCCAACATGTCAGCCTCATCCCTGACAAGCACCATGTGGTAACCACCACCAGCCTCACCCATGTTCTTATGAAACAATCCTGCATCCAGCCCCTGCTTTCCAGGGCAAGTCCTGCCCATAAGCAGAGCCCTGCCCTCCGAGGTGCTGCCATAGCTGGAAGCATCTCTTCACAGAAGAGATCCAGGAGCATCAGTAGCCCCTGGTGTCTCCTACTGTCCACTCAGAGCCTGGCTTAGAGGCACTCCAAGACAAGTGGTTTCACATCAGAGGTGCAATGCAGCCCAATCCCATGACACAGGCAATAGATGAAACTTCACCTGGTCCAAGGAGAACAAGACAAGCTGTATCATTGTCTCTATGCTTGTGTCAAGCTCTCCCCATCTTCCCAGCTCTGCACATCTTAGCACCCCACAGTCTTCCAAAGACAAAGGCAGACCAGGGCCCCCATCTTTGATGACTTCTTTCCCCAACATCACTACTATACAGAGGAAAAAATGCTATCCAGAACCACCGCAAGAAGTGAGCCAGGACTTGGGTCCTTCAGAGCTGACCACCACAACCATCCTCCCTACCAACCGGTCCCAGGCCAAACCATCTTCCTGAGCTCCCAGTTTCCTACGCCGCTCCCATCTCTCCCAGGCTGCCGATTCCCTTTGTTACGGCTCACAAGACCTGTGTCCTGCCTGTGATTTCAGGCTGCAAGAGAAGCCAAGCTCCAGGTAGGAACTTGCTCCGTTTCCAGTAACTGGAGAGGAAAGAGGTGAGATTAGACCCATGATTAAGGGCAGGGTCTGTCCCGGTATGCAATTCTGGAACAAAGTGACCGACAAGTGCTGTTGTCTAACGTGCCCGCTAAGAATTTAGTCGTGTGCTATCGCTACCACGTCACTCACCTCCCCCACCGTGTGCCAGGAGTGAGGTCAAGGTGTACTTCTGGTTGCCCTCGAAGGGTCGTGGTTGGGGAGAAACCAGGTTTCTTTCACACCAAGCGGCAGAGTTGTCTCTGCCCCGGCTCAACCAGGCTGCTCCCCTCCCACCAGCAGGACCTGGCTGAGCCTGGCTCAGCTGGGAGGAGTTGATGTAAGATGGTGCCATGCTGTGTGCGCCATGTCATGTGCTGCCAAGTTGGAGATGTGGGTTAGAAAGAAGGCCTGGTATCTCATTCCCCAGGCTCTGGTGGGTGGGTAGCGTGAGGCCCATGCACTGGGTTGCCAAGGAGATATGGGCTACAGAGATGGGCAGAAGCTTGCAAATCCCATGGTGCACCTTGGAGGAGAGATGGTTACCTTACCAGTCTTTCCAGACGTGGCTGCCATCATGCTTAACACTTCTAGGAATGGAGCTGTAGTACAGCCACTCCACTAGCTGCAATAAGGCATCACTAGGGTGTCCCATCTCCAGGGACAGCTCTGAGCTTCAGGGCTAGCCTGCGCTGGCATCATGGCTGGAGTTCACTAGGGACATCAAAGGAGGGCTTTGGGAGAGGGTGGGAGGGAGGGAAGGCAGATGGGACAGTCTTAAAGTCAGCGGAGTCCCCACAGGTAGAGGCTCCTAGCGGTGCAGGGCTACACCACGGTCACCTCTACAGCAGCCCGGTGCCCGCAGCGAGCATCGCCATGGCACGGCAGCTCAGCGGTGCCGGGAGCAGCCACCATCGGTCTCGTCTGCGAGCAGCTTACCAACAGCTCCCAGCGCGCGAGCCAAGGCCAGGCCAGCCTCGCACCATCTCCTGCCCCTCGTCACTCCTGCTAGCCCTCTGGGCAGCTCTTCAGGAGGTTGCACAGGTGCATCACCGAGGGCAGCCACCTCCTCTCCCGCTCACTACCAGACTTGAACACATTGCTGCGACAGGATGAGCACTTCAAGTTTAAATCTTTTGCAACACTCTCAGCTTAGCTACAGCTTCCAACTTCATGCCTGCTCCAGGACTGAATGCTACGGAGCTGCTGAAGCTCTGACCACCCCCATGAACATCCTCCAGCCAACGCTAGCCTCAGGAGGAAGAACTGTAGCTGTTCTGGAGAACAACTCATGTGTCCACCACCCCACCAGCAAGGCGAACCAGCCCCTACCAGCGAGGGCAGAGGGCTCAGCACACCAAGACCAAGGTTACAGCTTTTAGCCTAGTTTGTGAGCAAAAGTCATCTCACTGACTCGCTCCACCCTGCCTCAGCTCTGCAAGGGAGAGGGCTCCAGCCCAGAGATCCGGCAGCTCCAAGCTGCCAGCCTGAGTAATGTTTAACCCCATAAAACTTTATTGGTAACGTATACTGCGCCAGAATGTCTCCCTGCGAGGTCACTGCCGGCTCAAGCACAACGCAGCAAGGAGCAGCTGTAACTGCTTGGCCAGCCTGGCTGCTCTTCTTCAGAAGAGACCTGGGTCCGGCCATGGCCATGGCCTGGAGAGGCTGCACTGGCTCACTAAGGCTTCGAGGCACATCACCACTTGTGGAGCTCCTTGGGCTGGGAGTCCTACCTAAAGAGGGAGCTCCCTGGAGCCTCAGGGTCATTCTTCAGACCAGAAGACCTCTTTGAAAGCTAAGCTGTTTGTCTAGAAGAAGTAGCTTGCCAACTGGAGGGTGGTATCTAAGACCCCAGAGGGAAAAGATCTGGCTGAAGGACTTCTTGATACCCTCTGCTTTAGGAGACCAGATGTTTCTCCCCCATCATATAGTTTTGGTGTCTAACCCTTACACTCAGGGTGCCCATGTCACTGGTGATCATCCTTGAAGGACCTACAGTAGTGGTTTGACCTCCCTCAATCACCTCAGCCAGATCAGAGAGGTTTTTTCCTGGTCCTCCCTGCCAGGGGCAATTCAACCAGCAACAGCCCGTGATTCCACCACCCTACACACAACAGGCAGGGCATGGAAGACACCTGCTCTCCTGGGCTGCCCAGGAGCAGAGCCCACTCAGATGCTCCTGTGGCCATGGACATCATCAATAACTTTTGGAGAACACCAGCAAGCACAACCCTCGTAGTGAAGGACCAGCCTACTTTGAAGAGCAGCCTGGCTCTGGAGGCCCTTGGAAGAACAAGCCAGTGTCTAGACCTGCCCCAGGCCCCGTGTATTCCTTGCCTACTCTGCAAGAGCTTCAGCCCAACGCTAGCTCACCAGTTGAGGGACAAAAGCAGAAGAGGCCTGCAAGTGTGTGAGGGGCAGGATGGACAAGCTTACGTAGGTCAGGAGCTTGCATCCATCCAGTGCCTCTTTATTGCATTTAGGCAACAAGCTTGGGTTGAAGCTGGACAGTCAAGACGCTTGCAGGAAGCAAGAGGATGCCAAAGGGCCAACTGAGCTGACCATCAGGCAGGTGGACAAGGTGAAGGGACACAGCTCTTCCTCCATTCCATTTAAGCATGGAAGAGTGGAGCTAAGCACCCTGCTTGGCAGGGCAGAGAGCAGAGGTTATGCCCCGATGCTCTGGGGTCTAAGCACAGAGCCCCACTGCCCTGGTCCACCACAGCACTACTACAGGAGCAGACACCAAAGCAGGCAGAGCACAGCTGGCTGGTAACACCAAGCAGGGTAGAGATAGGGGCTCCATGTTCTCCTGTACAAGCGCTCCAAACCAAGCACCTTAACCTGGAATTAGGACACTACCTCTCTGTTTTGGCCTTCTCTTTGCATTTCCATGGTTTCAGGGACTTCATGCTCAGCAGGGTTGGTGGCCTCAGTACATTAAGACATTCCAGTTTCACACCAGTACAGGCATCCCTACAACTCCAGCTGTCAGCAAGCATACCCTGGGACACCAGGTGGTCACACCACCACCGGTATTTCCACAGCCCCATACAGAGGGATCCTCTCTAGCCTGCATCCAGTGGCAAATGCCACCATCCCATCAGAGCTCCTCACTCTGGCAAGGCTCTGATCACTCATCTTCTGCAGGACATCCCCCTCTGGCTTCAAAAGTGTTTGAGTCGCTTGGCCCAAGGGGGTTCCAGCACCAAGTCAAGCCTATTGCCTTCGCTGTGACTTCAAGGAGGACGTTGTGTAGCTATTTTACTTGCTGGCACATGGCATTGCCTCCCAGCGGTCCCACAACACGGCCTTCTGGCCATGGGGACCAGCAAAGCCAGCCAGAAATTGAGGCCCGACTTCCCCCCTGCCACCTCTAGCAGAGAAGCGGGCTGGACCTGCAGGGTCAGAAATCATCGACCAGCCTCCGCGCTTGGCCACATAGACCTCTCCTGCTGTGGCTTGCTTGGGGGGGGGGTGGGGG